CGCAGTGCTCTCATGCAGCTGTTCTCAGGCACTGTCTTGCTGTGTATTCCAACCAGCACTTCCCAAAGCAGCAGGGCACTAACCCTGCAATACCCTCAGAGACTGTGGTGTGAAACATCTTTGTTGCAACACCAAAACAATAAAAATGCCAGAAGCTGAAAGCGTTAGGGGCATAGGGGGAGAAGGACCAGGGACAAAGGAAGGGATTTTACCAAAACCAGAATCTGATTTTTAGTAACTACTAGTTAACAGGGGAGCCAGGCAGGTCCTAAGTTGAAGTAACACCCAGAACATGCAGTCCTGAACCCTGGCAGCAAGGGGAAGAGGAGTGTGAGATCATGGGGAGAAGAAAGGCAGGAATTCACATTGCCACTTCCCCCTCAGGTACAAGAGTTTTGGAATTTGATTTCTATCTGTGCACTCGCTTTCACACAATTTGAAGGAAATTAGTATCAGTGAAACCTCTGTTGAGTTGAAATCAGACAGCAGGATCAAAAGTTACCAGGGGCAAGGACCAACAGCAGAATCCTTACTATAGAAGCCTTACTTCAACAGGAAACCATAACTAAAGGTGGCAATATTGCTCCTTGCTGTCTCACACACTACAGAATTTGTTCCCAAATCCATCTCTGAACATTTTCAAGACTCAGGCTCCTGTGCAGTTCACTGCTACACGGTCTCCCTGCACGAAGTCTCACAGCACGTATGCTTCTGAGATGTCATGTGAACCACATGACCCAAAAGGCACTTTTTATTTTTAAACCGGGTCATGGCTCCAATAACAAATTCCCATCTGAGAGCACCACAGATCTCACACACAGCAGGGTAATGCAGCTTGTGAGCTCCCCAAGGCTGCCATGCCAGCACCTCTGATTTTTTAGGTTACAAAGAACTCAAAGCATTTCCATCATTTACAACAAATTTCACACCTGCATCCTGTGTTCCAAAGGAGCAAAAAAAATAAACAAATCCCAAGCCATTGACAACCTCTCTTCCCTTCCTGTGCTGCAGATTTACAGGCAGCTGAGGTCTGACTGATTCACTTCTGTCTCTGAACAGAGGCAACTTCCTGGGAGATGCATGGCAGCACTTTATGCTAACCAAGAACAACAAACCTGCTTGTTTACAGCGGCAGAGGGAATTCACAGCCTGGATTTTAGAACAGGAGGATCAGACATACTGAACACCTTACACTGAGAGATGTCCTCAAATGTGCCAAATCCTTTAGTGTAGTATGTTTATTTTATTTTACAAGAGTTTGATGGCTGTCCCTGAGTAACATCTACTGCAAAAAAAGAGAGTTCAGACAACTTTTAGTTACAGAAATTAAAATAAAGAATACCAGCAAAATACAAGCACAGGACAGAACTTCTGCAATGCATGCAAAGTCTGTTCACATTAGCAGGAGACTGTAACAGTTGATGACTTAGAAGACTTTAGGGCCATCCTTGTGCATTTTGCCTCCCCAAACCACCCAAGTCACACATCAACGTGTAGTGAAAGCTGAGAAGTGCCAGCCAGGGGCAGCTGAGCCTACCACTGAGGCCACATGCAGAGAAGGAAAGGCCAAACTTGAGTATTAGGTTTGCATGGCCCTCCAGCATGTTTATAGATACTCAGCCCTGCACACAGCCTAGGGCTGCTGTCAGTCTATTAATCATATTCTGCATGGCATGTAAAGCTCTAAATCCAACCTTCTTGGCTGAAATACCAGAGCTCAGTGTACTGTGCACTCCAGGAAGTCATCACAGACAAAAAGATGACGTGGGAAAGGAGAAGAATATTACCGGTGCTTCCCTAAGGCATGGGGCTCCTTTACAGGCAGGTATTTCCAGGCTTAGAAGTTTTCTTGTATGCACTTAAATAAGCTGACAAGGTAAAACTGAACAGCACTTAAGATACTGTGAAATGAGAAAGGAAAGGCAAGAATAACAAACAGTCAGAAGGATACACAGATCGTAAGTTTTTGGTCAGAAGCTGAGAAAGTGTGAATCAGGAAAGTATTTACTGCAATATGTCCCTCTGAACAACCCTCTTCTTCCATATTCCCCTTCTACAGATGCACAACAACAGCCATATTCCATGCTGAAACATGCACACAGTACCTCTTAATTCTCTAGCTTCCAATCAGGAGCAAAGCAAAAAAAGGAAGACAAAGGAATAAAATTAGGACAGTCACAACAGAGAGCGCTCACATTCAGTAAGGCTCAACCACATTAATTAATGTCTCATTTAAGAAAGTCAATCAAGCTCATTTACCAAACAAAGCATCTTTAGAAAAAAAAATAAACATGATAAAGATAATTCTAGCAGCAGGGAAGGAAGAAACCATGGTTACAGAGAAAAACTGACATCATAAATCATCACCAAAGCAAAGAGAGAGAACCATCTGCTGATGGGCCGATTCTGTTCCCACAGATGCCAATGACAGAAGCTGCTGACATAAGGACTGTAGGAGTCAGATACGTAAAATGAGAAAGGATGAAGCAAAACGATTGCAACAGAGACTAGAAATAGTACTTATGCTTCCTCTCATAACAATATTATTTTGCATCTTTGCAAACAATTCATGCTTTTCTGGACCTGGAGACACACGGAGCCAACTCTTCCAAGACTACCAGTATGTCAGGTAAAGATCTGAACTGCATGTTTTGGGCTCAGGCTTGTGTTCAGTGCCAGTATCAGACAAGACAGCCTAGTTTCTGAAGCTCCTGAGACTACCTTGTAACCTGCTTCTCCATCACCAGTGGGGTCACTGGAAGTTGTCTTTGGCTATGTGCTGCCTTCATCTACAACCTCTACAACATGCAGGGTTCCTCTCCATACACAAAACTAGTGTTTATGGCTTCAAAACCAAGCAGGAAACTCATATGAGTTTCAACAGTGGCTAAAGGCTTTGGGACATCCCTCTTCTTATCAGCTAGAAAATGGAATTGTTGAATGGAAGCTGAGCAGAATAAAATGGCTGAGGAAAACAAGAACTCAGAGATATGTGTTCCCCTGTTCTCTATGGAACGCTGAAATGCCTCAAAGCTCTGTTTTTCCCTGCTTTATTCTCTCCTTTCTCATGCCCCTTTGCATGATACCCATCCTGCTGCTGCTCTGATCATTCCTGCTTTCTGACCATCTCCCTCCAGGCTGAGCTGACCAGCACACATGCACACTGAAGAGCTGACCCTTGCAAGGCTGAGCAACACCCAGATGCTAACCATGAAAAACACTTCTTGGATCATGTTACAGGAGATCCATAGCCTGCTTTATATCAGCTAGGGCACAATTTTCAAAGGATCTCATTTCCAGACAGGCCTACGTGAGTCACCTTCAGTACCAGATGAGTTATAGGCTGTCACATCTTGACAGCTGCATTCTCCCATGCTGTCAGAATAAACTGCTGGACAGGTGTTGCCTCTTTAAGCTTGGGAAATCACTATGCAGTTGTTGCAACACATCTATGAGGAAAAAAGCTCTCTGTCACTGAACATTTCTTTGCTTCAGACAGATTTTAAGGTATCTATTTCCTACATATTTAGGAAGTTAATCCAATTCCTTATTCTGGAAATATCAGGCGTTTTAAGTATCCCATTGGCAAAAGAGCACAGCCTAGTGGCAACAAGATGAATGATGCCCCCCTTGCCTATGGAGACAAGGCTGGACACAGAACATCACACCATTCACTTCTGGAACTGCTGAAGCGATTACGAAAACCGAGTAACTGAACGTTTAAGTAACTGAACATCAACAGAAAAAGATTAAAAGGGAAACAGTTACATGTTTTCTTCTTCAGTCAACAACACTGCTGTGAGCCTCAGGATTAAGAGAAAAGGAAGAGTTGTAGGAGGCAACTGATTTTCGTAGACCCATTTATACAGCTGAAAAAATAACCCATTTTCATGACCAGAACCTGCTTCTTACCTGAGATGTTTTATGAGATACTCGATGGGCTCAGCTTAAAGCTTACCTTTTGCACACATCACCTACAAGAGCTGGTCTCAAAAAAGACTTCTGCTGAAGTCCTTTTTTACAAGGTGGAAAGAGGGAAAGTGAATGCTTCTGTGATACTGGATCTAAGCTGTGTCTGAAAAAGGGAACCCTGGAGAAGAAGAGGGGAATTCACAGCCTCGACGACCTTTTGCTAGATTGTGACTCAGCCACCAGGGGATGGGGGAAGGGAGATTCTAAAATGCTGCCACACAAAACGACATTGTTTTGGATAAGAACACAAAAGCTTTCTGTTAAGTTTACAGTTCCATGAACTGGGCTGAAAGAAGGAATTCACATGCCATAGCCAAATAGCCACCAAAGAATGACAGCTATTCACTGGCACTCTACTGGTGAAGCTCTAATGAAAAGATGACAAAGATGACAGCATCAAATGAATTATGGCAACGAGACAGAAGCTGTAGGATGTGAAGGTTTTTGTTTGGTTTGGTTTTTAACCATTATGACTAAACTTTCAGGAAAAAGAAGCAGCAAGATAATGGGAGCAACTGTGAAGTTCCATTAACTACAGAAGTCAGAAAGAAGAGTTGGGATGGTTCTGATCCTTCAGATTTAATATGTGCTGAGCAAGTTTCTTCTGATTACCCACACATATGCCAGGCATAAACAGCAGACACACCAAAACTGGAAATGGCATGGATCTCATTCATCCTAGCTAATACCAAATGAATGAAATGCTTGTATTAGACAGAAGATTTGCCAGTTCTGAAGGGTGAGAATTTGACAGAACTATATGAAGAAGTAATAAAGCTAGTGACAGAGTCAGAAAGGAAACACAAATCACATGGCATACTCAAACCTACATTCAAAGTGTAACAACAGTCTCAAAACAATGAATTTTCAGATATTTAAAAGCAAAGAAAAGACAAAAACACAACCCACCTAAACCAGAGCATCTGTAGCCTATGTGGTACGAGAAACAAGGCAGTAATGGCTATCCTCATCCCAAGCTCCCGAAACAGGCTCCTCTAACAAAGTACAGCAACATCAGCGTTTTGTACCTGCATTTTCCTCTTGACAGTCTCAAAGGGGAAAGAAAGCGTCTGTGCCACAGCAGCTGCTACACAGCCATTTATGAAGTTCTGAAGGGGAGTAAAACAAACTACGGGTTCTCGCCAGATTCTGTCCAGATTGATGTAAACAAAGAATGAGCCCACGGAAAATGGGACGGCACCTAGAAAGCAAACCACGCAGAGGTTGATATTAGCACACTGTGCACGAAGAAAACAGCTCTCATTACATAGTCTGGATGGACAGTACAAACTGCTGCCAGCCTACCGGTCACACTGCTCAAATTAGATCAATACTTAGAAAATTGCCATCAAACCCTCACAGTTTAGCATCTAGGCTTGGTGACAGAGGTACATATTTGCACACTAAAATTGTCAAGTTTCACAACAGGCTCTTCTGCAACAAGCTCCATCTGTGGTCCAACCCAACCCCAGCACCTGTATGGGTAAACAGAGCTGCCTCTTCTGTCAAGCAGATGAAGAACGCTTCTGTCCTCTCCTGCTTGCTTTGTGCTCTCCTAAATTTCATAGTGCAATTCTACATTATAACTACAGATATTTTTTTTAAACATTCCGTTATGAAAAAGCAGATGAAATCCAGTGGCATTTTAAAAAGTTGTTGAGAGAAAATAATTAAATAGCTGTTTCATGTAAAGAGAAACTATCACTAATCTTCAGGTTGATTACACACTGCTGCTCACAGTGGTCTCACTAAGCAGCCAGGGAGACGAACCCTGACAGGAATCACAGATATGGCACGCTTACATTTTTTGAAGAGTTAAACAAGAGAAATCCTGCACCTGAGGCACAACTGCATTACCTACAAAAGGAAACTATTTTGACAATGCTTAACCATGCAGAAATGCAACGATTTGGGTCATAATTTGAAGGAATAAAACAGCAGCAAAGATCAGTATTGTTTTGCCTTGTAAACCCACATGCCTTCCATGGAACAACATTGCCATTTGTTTTGAAATCAAGTGAGCAAGCAAACGCATGATATAGCTACAATAAACAGTGTGCAATTAGGTCATTTTCCCCAAGATTATTTTACCTAATATAGCTGGCGTAACACCACGATAAAGTGCAAGAAGTCCTTCTTGGTGATAAATTTTGTAAAAAGCATGAAGAATTCCTTCATAAGATGGCTCCAGTCGGTTCTGCACAATAAGCCGGGTTTTAATTACATCGGTAGGGTAAGTCACAACAGTTGCAACCATGCCAGCCAAACTTCCTGCTATGATAGCTCTCCAGTGGGAAATATGGCCCAACTCATCCGTGAAAAGTATAACAAGTCTACAGTAAAAGCATAAAAGAGATATCATTAACGGCAAATGGCAAAAGAAAGAAAGAAAGAAAAACACCATGAAATAAGAAGGCAGATCATTCTTGATACAATTAGAATCGTAGAATATGATCCCATGTAATTGTTCTGCTCACAAGCTCCTCCAGTAGCAGGAGATGAAACCTCAGTAAGTACCGAATCCAAGACCTCCCTGTCTTCTCTAACACCATACAAGCATCAGGTCTCTGTGAATCAGAACATAGGGACGGAAAACACAAGCGGAATAAAAACAACATGCCCAAGAGCTCACGCAGAAACACAGAAGTAGGAGTCAACAGCAAGGTCAATGGCTGGAATGCACAGCTCCCACATGCCATTCACTTTACCTGCAGCCTTCATGAGCTCAGATGCTTCCAGTATCTGAAGGAGCTTTCTGAGGGCAGCTTGTGTAGCTCCACCTGCACCACAGTACCCAGCACACACTGAACACGCAGAGTTGCAATCTCCCATTGTGGAGAACCAGAGCACCAATTCAACAACAACAACAAAAGCTGCAAAGATACAGTGAGGAGCCACTTCCCCCAGTTTACTTCTTTGCTTGGCAAGCGATTTCCAAAGTGCTTTTCATCCACAGAACGCCAGTTTATCTACAGGCTGAAAATCACCATAACGGAGAAGCAGCCCGTACGAAAAGCTCTGCCACCAGCTGTCCGACAGAGACGCGGGTCTCCAGCTTTTCTCACAAGGCATCCATCACAGGGCCTTCTGAGAAGCCCCGTGCCTGCTGTTCTGTCTCTGAAGCGCTAACTTTTTTCGTTCATTCAGGGCAAAACAACCGATAACAACATACAAGCCGCTGCTCGCTCAGCCGACGCTGTTCCACGTGTGCTGCACTTTGCGCTGCGTGCCGGATCCCCGCAGCTACCCGTCCCGTGCCTGCAGCGCTCCGCCTGCACGCAGCCGCCCTCAAAAGCACAACGGAACGAGAAACGAGCCGTAGCGCTGCGAGCGGCAGAACCCCCAGCTCCCGCAGGGCCCGAACCGCCCCGCGACCTGCTGCCGAGTCAGCACCGGCACGGAGACGTTAAAGCGAGTAAGGCGGCGCATCACCTTCAAGAACGACGGGAGCCGAACAGCAGGAGAGGGAAAGATCCGAATCCCGACTTCCTTTCTGATGTCCGGATGACCGAAGCGCCGCACTGAGGAGCGAGCAGCGCTGCAGCTGCGCTCGGGGCGGCCCCAGGGCTCAGCCGGACCCGGCGGCACGTACCGCACGCCTCCAGCAGCGGCCCCGCGGAGCCCCGCGCGCAGAGCGCTCCCAGCGGTGCCCCCCCCCCGCTCCCTCCGAGCGCGGCCCGGCCCGGGCACCCTCTCCCCGCTTACCGGCGGGAGGCGGCGAGCTGCAGCGCGCTGTAGGGGTACAGCCGCAGGCAGGCGGTGAGGTTCCCCTTCCACAGGGCCCGCAAGCCCTCGGTGCGGCACAGGCCGCGCCCGGCGCCGAGCAGCCCCCGTTCGCAGTGCCGGGTGCCCACCTGCGCCAGCACCGTCAGCAGCTCCAGCGGCGCCGTCAGGCTGAGGCTCAGCGCGCCCGCCAGCCCCGCACAGCACAACCGCTGCGGGCCGCTCAGCCGCCCGTCCCGCCGCCAGGTGGCCATGGCCCCCGCGGGGCTGCGCGGCGCCGCCGTCCGGAGGGGTGCGGCCTCCGTGGGGCGGTGCTGCGGGCCGTGCCCGGTCCGGCTTGGCCGGGCGGAGCGGAGCGGAGCGAGCACAGCCGAGCGAAGAAGGGGGGGCTCGACGAGGGCGGCTCACGGCCGGCCGGGCGGTGCGGGGCGGTGCGGCAGTGGTAGGTTCAAGTTCTGAATGAGAAGAAGTCGTTCAAAGAATACGTCCAAAAGAGTAACGGGTAACGCGAATCCCCGGTGAAAACGATAATCACCCAAAATGCACTAAAAGAAACCTCAGGGCAGATTGAGGCAGAGACGGCTCGCCACTGCTGGGACATCTTTGTAGGGTGTTCGCCGATGATGTCAGAAGCGTTGGACATGTTAATCCGGCCGTTGTTACTTTACTGCTGATAGTTCCGATGTTAACAATTGCAAACTGTTTCTATTGGTATCAACTTAAGAGACAAACCCAGAAGGCTCGGGCACTGCCAGCAGTCATTAAGCATGAGCAATATGAGATTCTGCCAAAGTATTCCCAAGCTGACTGAAAAAGGGGGAATTGGTTTGAAGAAACAGGCCTCACTGTATTTTGTACGTGTTTTTAGAAATAGCTGATTTGAAAAAGTTGATGTGCCGTATCTTTTAGTATTTTTAGCATATTTTAGCATATTTTTAGAAACATGGTTGTTGAATTGTTGTATGATGCGATTATTTCTTGCTTGCAAACTGTATTACTTTTTAGTGTTGCAAATAGTTATGGATGTAGGCCCGTAGACTAGAAAGCGTGCTGTAAGGCTGTTTTGACGAGAGAGCTTCAGCAACAGAAACACCATAATGAAGCCAGGGCCTCCACACAAGGCTGCGTTGTCTCACTCTGGGATTAGGTTGGGACGCGACAGGCAGCCGCCAAGATATCCCCTCTATCCTCCTCATCTTCTAACACCCCAATATAGACCACCAAAAAACAGGCTGCACCCCAGTATATCTCACTAAAAGAGGTTGCCTAACCTCTCTCTATCCAAGGACGAGCAGATGTCCAGAAATAACGTCCAAGTCCTGAGTAAGCAAATGTTACGATTTTGGTACCTATGAATTACTTCTAATAGGCATTCTCCTACTGAGTCTGTGTCAATGAAGAAAGTTTGTCTAGTAGAGAAGCAAGGAAGACCACTGCATGAAGTAAAAGGCTGTTGGTTGGACAGTCAGGATGCTAAAAGGATGCTGGGCGGAAGAAGAGACCATGGAATAGAGGACTGGAAACCTCATAAATCACTACCTCAGATAGGTGTGTATATGTTAATTGTCTCACATGTAATTGATGAATATGTACCATCTGTGTAAAAATAATGGACTCTGAATCATGTAATCTTGCACTTCTGGTGCACATATGCCTAATGCTTCCTGGTGCTGCTAATAAAGAATAACTGACTGAAGAGCAACAAAACTTTGCAATTAAGTTTCTATGCATCAATTTCTTGGATTCAGAAGAAAGGAGCAGGAGGCAGAGAGCAGGAGGGGAGAGGAGACGCGGGCAGT